AAAGCTATACATTATTAGTTTATCATACATGTATGACCGATTGATTACACTTTGGTCTTTGACACTTTGCATTAATATTTAGGCCCCATTTCTAACTGTGCTGTTCAACCTTGAAACAAGTTGTAACTGGGCTACTCGGGTAGGGTAAAGCTTTTGAGACTAATCTTGTGGGAGTATTTACCCATAGTCGATTCGTTTTGAGTTAAATGTTTTAACAATACTGATTAGTTTATCACTTTATCCATTCTATCATCATACTATAAGTGGAAGCAGAACCGAGTTACAAGTGCTGCAATGTTTAAGTGGTTCCTCAGCATGTTCTAGGTTTGAAGCTACTAGGAAGCATTCACACCAATTAAATGAGTGGACACATATGCACACAAATGTGTGTGAGTTATACAAAGTGCTTCAACTAATTTTTTGGATAGTTTATTATTTATATCTATTTGACATTACTTTTACTGTCCAAAAATTACAAGGTTATTAAAAATTATAGTTATCTCAAGGTTGTTTAAGGTTCTGGTATTGAAAATTATAGTTAGGTTGTGGAAAGCAATTATTTTAGTTTGCAAGTGTTAATGAGATAAATTCAATTTTGAAACAGTAGACTCCTTTTATAAAAGGAGGCTTTTGCATGTTGGAATTCAAATTGAAAACATCTTTATAATGTTAGGCAACTTTTTTACTTGAAGCACATAAGCTCAACATTTACGAAGAATTGAAGATTATAAATGTTCGTGTTAAGTTTCCTGCTTTCCCAAAGCATATCCATCTTTTGGCTGTCAAAGCTTAGCTGGAAGTTCTTCAAATTACCATGCCAATGAGGCATGTGCTCACTGCTCAGGCGTGAAAAGAAGTTTCTCATGGCCATGGCTGACTTCTGGATAGCTCTAACTACATACCTTCCAAGTTCCCACTTATTTTTCTGTATGAGCATGTGGTTCAAAATAATCTGATTTTGCTTAGTTAGATATGAATAAGGATTATCGTGACACCAGTGAGATTAGTTGTATTGCTTTATTATTATTGATCTTTTGCAATTTTCCTGTACCGACTTTAGTTGCTAATTTCTCATTATACACATTGCACTACTCATTTTGGCCTATTCCTCTGAGGATGGATCTTGGGGTAGCAATAAACAGCCTGGAGTACATCTACCCCCAAACCCTGTAATAGCAAAAGTCTCATGCACGTGCTGTCTTATTTTGGTCTACTCCGTTGATTCTACGTCTTTTTTCCATGCCACTTCTTGTTATGTCTTGCTTCTAGATATTACTTATGCTAGATATCTGTATATGAACCAAAAAAGATGGTAAATGTTTTGTATATTCTCTCTGGGTGCAAATTGCATACTTTGTGAAGCCTAATCACGATTGCCTTGTTGAATGCTTGCCAACGTGCCAGTCACCAGAGAACCCTCCCAAGTAAGTACAGATCAACAGCACTATGAACACAATCTTACCGCTTACAGGTTTATCTGAACCTCTGGTTGATCCAATTAGGGATCTTAGGGCACATAAAGTGGTTCATGAAGATTATCACCTATTGTGATTGATGAGTATAGTAATCACGCAAGAGTCCTTAAGGCTTGGGCAATAGCCCGTGGACCATGGGATGGCCCATAAGCCTAGAGGGCCATAGGATTGGGCCATAAGTCGTGGGTATTGGCTTACTAGACTTGACAAGTTGGGCCAATTAGGTAACAAAAAACAGACCTATTAGTCCGATGGAGTTCAAAACAAATGCTGAATTTGAAAAGGAGAATTTGGAAGACGGTACAAAAATTTGGACTTAATTGAGCTAAACTACATTAAAGAAACTTATTTGGCCCTAAATGCATAAAGGCCATTTATTATTCTTTTATCTTGTCTTTCTCTCCATTACTCTCTCACTCTCTTTTCCCTATTTTCTCTCTATCTATCTCTCTTTCTTACATTGATAATTTATTTTTGTTCAAATATGTAAAAAATTGATTTAATTTTTTCATCTCTCCCCCCTATTTCTCTCCTTATTTTCTCTCTTTATCTATATCTTTATATTAATGTTATAACAATATAGTTACACCAATCAGTTATAATTACCCTATAATACATCAATCAGTTATTCATGTATTTTAATAAACCAAACAGTTATACTAAACAATTATACAAAATTACAACACCAACTCAATTTGTCATTCAGTTGTTTACATAACTAAAAAGTTGTACCATTTAGTATCATGATATGGTTACACCAATTATATACAACAAATTGTGTTTATCATTATACAAAAGACTTTACCGTTGTACCAAATTTGGTGTATATAATTGGTGTAACCATATCGTGATACTAAATAGTGTAACTCTTTGATTTATGTAAACAACTGAATAACAACTGAATGACAATTTGGGTTAGTGTCATAATTTTGTGTAATTGTTTAGTGTAACTGTTTGGTTTATTAGAACACATGAGTAACAACTTAGTATATTATAGGACAATTGTAACTGATTAGTGTAATTGTATTGTTGTAATGTTGATATAAAGAGAGAAAAAAAATAAATCAGAGAGAGTAATGGTGAGAGAAAATAGGGGGAGAGAGATAAAAAAATTAAATCAAATCTTTACATATTTGAAAAGAAAGTAAATTATCAATGGGAGATAGAGAGAGAAAATATGGGAGAGATATGGAGAGAAAATAGGGGGAGATAGTGAGAGAGGGATAGAGAGAAAATAACGGAGAGATTAAGAGAATAAAAATTATTCATAATTTAAGGAAGGGTAAGTAAATAAAAAAATTCAAATGTTATTTGAATTTTGTACATAATCACAAGATGTTTTTATTAAAATTGAACTTAATAGAGTAAAATACTTATCCATACACTTTCTCTCAAATAAGTCTAAAAAAGTGTACCCACACCTAAAAACCCATTTGAAAAATAGAATCAGAAAAGTAGAAATAAAATGACACATCAGCCAGCTTGATGGGTTGGCTGTGACTGTATTTTTTTGGGGCGTAGTTGTCCGGGCCAGTGATCTGAGATTGACCCAACCCACGGCCCACCTTTGCGTGTTGACTGATGAGTCAGGGTATTCTGGGACAATTGCCCACACTTAAGAGTAGGGTTGATAATTGAGCTGAGTCAAGCTTGAACAATTTTTTAAGCTTATTTTGAAAAACGTGCTTAAAAGATTCGACTTGAACTCACAAAACTCAACTAATTTATATGTAAAGTAGTTGAGCTATATGTGCTCAACAAAATGAGCTGAGCTTAAACAATAATTTTTTAGGCTCGTTTAAAAAAACGAGTTCGATAGGTTCAGCTCGAGCTCGTAAAATTCAATTTGATTATTAGTCCTATTTAAGAGTTCCCCCCCACCCCCCGCGCGGGCGTGCGTAGACGCACACACAGGCGCACCCAAAATCGGTCCACCTTGTGGATGCTGAGGCTGCTTTTCCTTTGCCAGGTATCCTCCAATTAAATGTGAAAACGTACTTGTTGCAGCGATACAAGGAGACTCATGCTGATCTGAACTCTTATAAATAAAATCAAACTTAACTGGCCATGGCAGGGGACTTTTACCTGAAATGCCTGCCACTGAATCTGTACTATGGAGTTTGCTGCCTATGCTACCAAGGTGTGTATACCACCAGACTCTTTGTATACTAAATCTGTAAGCTTATCAGGTGTTAAGGAGAATATTTACATTTTAACTTTTATTATTATTACTAGCCATTTTCAATAGTGCCTGATAGCATTTGATGTGTTATTCTTTGTCCCACCTGTTTAACATCTTACATTATTAATAGACTAGGGATAACTCATGTCTGAAAGTACAGTGCAATATGAATGATTTTAAGAAGGATGTTGGTGGTTATTGAATGAGTCTATTTAAAATCGTCGAATGAATTTATTGAAGTCATTTTGTTTCATATTATAAATATTCTAATCACGTGCTTTTTGGATTGATTAAAATGTAAATCTTAATCTTCGATATGTACAATCACCCATAACCAAAAGCATCCATTAAACCCAAAATTTATATTATCAGGGTAGCTCAAATTTAGGATGTGCATATTTATATCTTGCCAAAATCTTTTATTGGACCATTGAACCAATCCGGATAAGCTTTTGAGGATATTTTTTCAATCAGACTTAGTTTGGTCAAACAATGTTAAAACATTTTCAACTTGAAATTAACTTGCTTAAAGTCCACCTCTTGGCATAAGGGTGCAATTCATGTTATTGCCACTCCAACAAGTCGCATGTAGAGAGTTCATTAGAGGATAATATCACGATGATTAATAAAAAGACTCTCATACCAAAATTACACACTCGTATAATTTTACATACTTTACTAAAATGCGGAAATCCTTGAACGTGTGTTTTCCCAAAAACACAAAAAGACACTTGTGAAATCAGACAACGAGTCCATTTGGACTTCATATATCCAGACTCATTGAGATCAAGATATATTTTGAAATTACAACTCACAAAAGCCAGCCAAAACTTAATAACATACAACGAAGGCACATCATAACAACAACAGGCTTTAAAATGAAGTACAGAAGTTATAAGCTGTAGTTGGTAGTGACATAATTCAATGGTATGTTCGGTAAGTAGGAGTGTACATACAGCTTTCAGCATACTTCACCAGATTCTCAGGTCAGGGGAGACTTGTCGCCACACCTACAAAGCATTTATGTAATGTGGCGAACATAAATTCATGTCTTGGCAAGTAGCTTGGAACAAAAATAGGGAAAAGAAAATATGTACTCACCAAGTTCATATGCTTTAGCAGCTACCTTAGTAGCAATGTGAGCAGAGATCTTTCTGATATTAGTGAATGGAGGGTAAATCATGCCCTTAGCTAAATGCTCCTCCATTACTTGACCAGCCAAAGCTTCCGTTGTTTCAATGGAGACATCTGGAAAATTAATATCGAGAGAATTCTGTTGCTTGCTTTACTGCAATGACAACCTAACATTGTGTTGCCTTTAAAGTCACTGTAGTCTGAAAGGCATATCGTAACGTTTCATTTTTCACCACACAAGAGTTTACATGTCTAGAGAATAGGAAAAGATGACAAGTATTCTGTTTTTGTCATTCACTTGAATCGGAGCACCTAAATTTTTAGACAATATCAGTATGCAATAGTAAATTCAACACTGTTCTTCATTATATACTTACCCGTTGCAAGAGGCATTTCATCATGGACACGAATCGCATCAGAGATGACCAAGCCAAAGTCAAACACAGGGAAAATATAAGCATTGTTCGCCTACATTAAGATAGAAATTTTTTTCTCAATTTTTGATGTCCATGTTGAAGATATTATCGCACAAACACATCAAACAATGCAAGTCTCACGGAGATTAACGAAAAAACATGGCAAAACTTGGAAATTGGAAGATATAGAACCTGGCCAGCTGTGTAAACTTTCCCCTTGTAGTCTACAGGGTCAAATGGACTTCCACTGGCAAAAATTGCACGACCCTTTATTTTGGAAGGAAGAACAAGCAATAAGTTAAGAGTTAGGAGGCAAACAAAAATATATTAGGAGATGAATATAATTACCCCATGTTATATGCTATAATAACATAACTATGTATATGGTGTTAAGCCAACACCTGTTTTGACATCTCAAGAACTATAAGATCTGTTATACCAATCCCAGCCTACAATTACAAGATGACAATCGTGAGACAAATCAATTGTGATCTTATTTTGATGTTTGATAGTTAGATACCATATGTCACCAATTTAAGGGCTTGGAAGGCGACAGAAAAAACCAGGAAAACTGAACATGTCCATCAAGAAATTGCAAGAGGTTTAGTTGAAGATGTGGTAAGGCCAACATCAAGGTGTATGCTTGGTCACATTGGTTTTTTTCCCCATCAATTTAGTCTTCCCCGTAGTTTTTGATATATAACCAATTTGCTCCATAGACCAATGTTGAAAGAGTGCCTCAAATATTTCTCAAATAGGGATAGAGGGGTCGTGGGTAGGACACACAACCTCAAATGGAGTGGGTTCATGACTAAGATCCCCCCAATGCCCATCCATAAATTGTTACCCCAACGCCAACCGATCCATGATCTAGGTAAGCCCAAATTATTACACTAACCTTGAATTGTAACTCCAAGTGGTACTTTATTTTGTAATCTTGGTCATCTTCAAAAGCATATTTTGATTGGTTTTGATTTGAATGTTTTTGTAATACAAATGTAGAACTATTTACTTTAAATATACTTTTGTGATTTGAATGTTTTTGTAATACTAATATGGAACTATTGGCTTTTGTTATTCACAACCCTTGGTTGGTGTAACACCCCACCCTCCACATGGCATAATATTTTTCACTTTGGGCCCACTGACCCTCACGGCTTTGTTCCTCCCAGTACCCCTGGGAAAAGGCCTTATGCCATGTAAGACGAGGGGCTTACTAATAAGCCCAACAACTTTTCCCTCCCTAATCGATGTGGGACACCAGGATCTCACAATCCAACCCCCTTAGGGCTGCACGTCCCTGTGTAGTAGCTCTCCAGCTACCTGCCCGCCCATATGCACGTGAGCACGGTAGGGGCCCACACTCGATCCAGGCGAGGGTCGGCAGTGATACCACTTGTAACACCCCACCCTCCACATGGCATAATATTGTCCGCTTTGGGCCCACTGGCCCTCACGGCTTTGTTCCTCCCAGTACCCCTGGGAAAATGCCTTTTGCCATGTAAGGTGAGGGGCTTACTAATAAAACCAACAACTTTCCCCTCCCTAACCGATGTGGGACACTAGGATCTCATAGTTGGTAGGTTGTTTTGCGTTGTGGTTCAAAGCAATACCCTATTCAAGGGCGACTTAAGAAAACTTGAGGCCTAAAGCGACATTTGTAAATAAGGCCTTTTTAAAATTGTCCGTATTACTAATTCTCTCATTCTTTCTTGTGATATGGTCAACCTTAAGACTTTATTATTTTTAAAATTTTCGTTACTAATATTTTTTCATTTTTTTGTATGTTTTGCATCCAAAATTTGTTTTGCATGTTTAAATCTCATCGTGAATATTTTTTATTATTTTTTTTTGTATTATTTTATTATTTCTTATTCTTTTGGATCTATTAATTGTTTATTTGCATGACTTTAACCTATTTTTCTATGACGTTTTGTTTGGTAGTAGGAATAAAGAGATCATTTTGAGATTTATTTATTTTAAAATTATCTCATTTTTTAGAAAGATTTTTCACATCCAAATGATTATTTTCTAGTTACCATATTTATAATAAATAATCAACAAATTAGTTCTAAATAACCATATGATATTTATAATTACAGAATATAACATGAGCTTAAAATTATAGAGAAAATATAAAAATAATATAGTTTTATTTATCATAGTTATTTGCAACATTAAAATTTGATATGTTAGTTCTTTCTAAATCAAAGTTTATAAAATTAAGTAAGGTATATTATGTGAGTTTGATTTGATGTATGATTTAAGATAAAAAGTTGTGCGTGTGTTAGAGGGAGAGAGAGTTTTATTTGTGTTTAATTGGAGATCTAAGATAGAGTATGTGTGTGTTTGAGTGACAGAGACAGGAGACTTTTGCTTTTACAGTTTTTGTTTTATTGAATTTTGATCATTACAACAAAATGTGTGGCCTGTATTTTTGAGCTCAACTATTGAATCTAAAATTTAGTTATTACGTGTATACTTTATTAAGACTTTTTATGGAGTTTATATTTTCATATATTTAATAATTTAGATTGAATTATACTTACTGTACATTAAAAAATATGGGCCTTATTTGTAATTGGGGCCTAAAGCCCCCGCTTTTTTGTTTACACTGCTGGCCGGCCCTGACCCTATTCATGTGGCCTCAAGGGCGCTTCTGTTTCTTTGGTCTTCAACCTTGAAACTCTTATCGTAAGTATCGAAGTAATGATTGGTTGTGTGTGTATGGAAGTATAGTTATGCAAATGCAAGAGTGAAAACAATTCGAATAATAGTTCCAAAGCAAATGGTGACCCAAAATAGTGTACAGATAAAGTCTATCTTCATCACGCCGCATATCAGAGAAAATACCGTACCTCATACCTATACCAAATCAAGTAATCAACCCACGATCTAAGGAATATCGGTGTCAAATAGAAAATCGTCAAAGAAAACCATATTTTGGAGCACAAATAAATAAAATATTTTGGAAAGTCACTAATATTTCCTCTATAAGTTTCTGGTGCCATCATTACTGTACTTCTGTACTGTACCACACCCTAACCTAGTTATTTTTGCTTATCTACCTAGGATGTTAAGATTCAGAAATAGGTGGAGGAGTAGAATCTCACTTGCCCAACACCAAGGAATAAGAATTTGTGGTCAGCCAAAGTACCACCAAGTAACTTTAGTGCTGTAACAAGCCCTACAAGATCCACTGCTGTTGTACCCTGAAAAATGGAAACCAAAAATTAAACAAGAACACAGAACACCTAACACCTTCCAGTGAAAATATCAACCACGACGTAACACCTGTATATCATCATTGAAGACCAGATGAGTAGTGTGATATTTCGCCAGTAGCTCAAAAGCATTGTAATTTGCAAAATCTTCAAACTGAGAGAGTTCATAAATTTTTTTTTACCAATGTTAGAAATGCTTAAAAAATTCTAAAATTCAGAAAGCCTAAATCTTTGATGAAGTCTAACACATTAGAGTGATATTTCACTTACCTGTACGAGAACTTTTTCACCATAGTTTTGCTTAACAGCAGTCATGAATTCATGTAAAAAGTCATAATATTCCTGGGGTAGGAAAAACTGTCATCCTTCAACAACTGCTCATTGTTTGTCCCCACATCGATAGTTATAGGCACGTGAAAACATTTCATTAGTAAAGTGAACCAAAATGATAGTGCCAAACCAAACTCCACAAATTTTGATCAAGCTCATAAATAAACAATGTCAAATAGATTTATTTATTTAATACAGTGAAGAAAACCATACTAAGAGAGATGAGTTTCATGTGCACTAAAGAAAAACTTGAAGAACGTAAATATCCCAACATCCAAATAGAATAGTCAAACAAAAATGACAGTTTCCATTTGTTGTGGTTCTTACCGCTGAAGGTCTAACTCCTCCAAGGGTAGTATACAAAGCCAGTTTCCCTACAGGTATCCCCATCCCCCTGCAACAATTTAAAAATTGCTATGTGAAGACTAGTTCATTGTCGTTTCGGTCTTATATTTATAAATGTGAATTCGGCATTTAAGATACTTACTGTTACAAATGAAAGAAAATGAATCCTCGCATATTTACCTGGCAACCAAGGTCCCCAAGTCGCACCATCACTCACAACAATAACTTGAATATTCCTTTCGGGCCAGTTCTTCAGTACCTCGACAATCTTCCCCCTGCAAATGTCAGGTGATCTCTCTATTAACTTGGGGAAAGGCTACGGTACCCAAGGAGGTATTGTACCAAAATTTACAACTTGTAATGTTTAGTTATAATTTTTTTTTGTGTAAATTACAATTTTTAGAGGTTATGATCGATCATAATAGATTGAGATCAATACTGAAATTATAATTGTTAAAGGTTAAGTTATAACTTTTAAAGGTCAAGTTACAATTTTGAAAAAGAGAAGTTACAACTGTTCAGGGGAGTCCATGATCGATCATGTGTATCTGTGATCGATCATGGTCTCCCTTAAGCAGTTGTAACTTCTCTCTTTCAAAGTTGTAATTTTGTCATAGAAAATAATAACTGGTAGTACATAACCGAATTTTTTTTGTTCCATACCATAGACTTTCCCATTAACTTGAACCTACTTTTAAAATGTAAATGTAGTAATTTAGAGCTCAAACAAAAAATCATACTTCTCTTTCAAACTAAAGTAGATACTCTGAGGCCACCTAAAAATGCTTCCATATTTCTGGCAAGCAACACTAACAGTCGGAGTGTAGACAACTGGTAGGAGTTCTTCAACATTATCAATAAGAAGCTTATAGAACAACCTCTCATTCCTCTCCTGTAAATCATTTTAAACATAGACTCACTGAAATTTGTACGCGCGTAATATAATTGTATATTAATTACGATTTTATAAGAAAAAAATTAAATTTTTATTTGTGATTTTATTTCAATAAATGATACAATAGAACATGAATTTTAATTGTAAAATTTAAAATATTTTATATTTTATATTTGATTGAAGTATTTTTGGTGTAAGTATAACATTTTAAACTTAAAGGGTCTAATTAATATATGTTTACAAATTTTAGGGGGTCTGAGTGTAATTTATTAACGTATATATTTAGAGCAGGGTCTAAGTGTTAAGCGTGCACAAATTTTAGGGGGTCTTTGTATCAGGGAATCTAAATGATTAAGTGACAATCCTCAAGAGGTGTAGGTGTAATTCTTTTTTTTTTTTAAATCTAAATTGGAGATGTATACAACAACAACAACACAACATAATTTTGTATATAAGAATCGTGTTAATTTTAATAGGATACAATTTACACATGATCTGTTATCAATAATAATTTGTGCTAATGCCTAATTAGATTGTTACAAGTTAATTTACGAATTGAGATTTTCTTCATTGTACTTAGATTAATAGCTAGCAGGTCACATGTTATAAATTGAAGCAAACTCATTATTTTTAAGTAGGTCCATCACACATATTCACATACTTGATAAACGATCTATGGTTAAGTGACATTGAATGAATGTGTCATAGAAATTGCTGAGAGGATTAGATAGATATTGTAATTAATTGTACCACTTTTTTTTTCCTAACAGTCACATTCATCCTCTAATGCTCCGTTTGGTAAGAATGATAAAAAGTAAGAGAGATGAAAAGTAAAAATGATACACTTTGTATACTTCAAGGAAGAAAAATAGGAATGATACACATTCTTTCCTTTGTATTTGGTAGAATGGATGAAAAATAAAAATGATTAAATTTTTTTTTGTGCTTCTTAAGATTGAAAAAATATTTATTTTAATTTTTAAAACTTTTCTAAATTTTTTTAAAAAAAAGTATAAATACATATTTTATCATTGTATTTATATATGAAATTAATGTATACATAATATATGTATATGTCAAAGGATATATAGACAAATAAGTTATATATTTCAATACAATAAATTCACTTTTCATCCACTTTTCTTCTAATTTTGGAGACACTGATTTTGGTGAGTTGGAAGGAAAACTCATCTATCTATTTTTTCATTTTTTTTATTTTTCTTTCTTACCAAACATGATGTTTTTTCTATCCCTCAAACTTTTCATCCTTTTATTTTTTCATCGTACCAAACGGAGCATAAAAAATTTGGTTTTAGGCTCCATAGCTCACCCTGTAGCAAGATCAACATCAAACCCTTAAGGGTGATTCAATTGTTGAGCTTGGTCTTTGGTAATCTAAAGGTCTCAGGTTTAATCCTTTCCCACACTCCCTAAGCACTAGCCACCTTTATCCTTTTATATTCTAACTCAACTCAAGCCACAATAACTAATGAAAACTCAAGTTGGCGCAAGTTTGGATACCATGTAACAAAAAAAAAAAAGAAGAACAAAATCATATCCATGTTCAACCTTTGATACATCCAATTTTTTTTTAAAAAAACCGTTGATAGAGGAAATGGAAAAATTAAATAGAGATAATTATTAATGTAATAACAAAAAGATAACAATCACTTAGATTAAATAGACAAGTTTATAAGTGGAACAAAGAGGAGTTTGGTAATATTTTTGATCGTATTAAAGTTCTTGAGGAAAAGATGAGGGTTGCTGAGATCCTTATTGAAACAGAGGATTCATTGGTTAACCAGCAAGCTCTTTGATTCTCATCAAAAAGATCTTGATGAAGTCTTGAGGCTTGAGGAGGTGTATTGGAAGCAAAAGGCGAATGTGAAATGGGTTGTGGAGGGCAAAAAAAAATACTAAATTCTGTCATGTCTTAGCTAAAGGAAAGGCAGTTAAAAATAGAATTCAGAGAATTCAGAATGGAGAGGGTGTATGGATTGATAATGAGGAGGAGATTGGGAAGTGTGCTGAGGACTTTTATGCTACCTTATACAGAACTAAAGGGCATGAGATGTAGGAGCATTTATTTGAAGTTATTCCTAGAATTGTGACGGATGAGTTAAATGCTAAGATTCTTAGGGAAGTATCTTTGGAGGAAGTGAAATCTGTTGTTTTTTCTATGTCAATTCACAGTGCTCCAGGGGTGGATGGGTGGTCTGGAAAATTTTTCCAGGTAGCCTGGGATATCATTAAGCATGATGTGTTAAAGGCAGTTAATTTTTTTCTTAAAGGTGGCATAATTCCAAGGTCCGTAAATGCTACTTTGTTGGTGATAATTCCTAAGAAGCTTAATCTAGTTTCTTTTGCTGACTTTAGGCCTATCAGCTTATGTAATTTTTTTACAAGATTTTTACTAAGTTGTTGACCTCTAGATTAGCTCCTTTGCTGGCTGTGTTGGTGTTTGAGGAGTAGCATGGTTTTGTCAAGGGTAGAGGTATTGGGGAATGTATTTCCTTGGTTCAGTTAATGGTGAATGACTTGGATAGGAAGGTGGAGAGTGGGAACATGATTTTAAAGCTTGACATGATGAAGGCGTATGACAAGATAGAGTGGGATTTTTTGTTGAAAGTGCTTTCTTCTTTTGGATTTTATGAGCTCTTTGTTAAGATCATTGAGAATTGTTTGGTAAATCAAAAGATTTATGTATGTGTGAATGGTTTGAGAAGGGGTTTGTTTCCTGCTTCTAGGGGGTTAAGGAAAGGGGTTCCCATCTCCCCATGCTTATTTGTGTTGGCTGAAGAGGTCTTGAGTAGGGGTCTATGCAGAATTTATCAGGAGGGTCTAGTGAAAGGTTTTCATCTGGGAAGAGGCTCATCTTTAGTGAGTTATTTGCTTTTTGCAGATGACACTCTAATTTTTTTAAGGGGGCTGAGAAAATCTCTGGAACACTTGTTGAATTTTTTGAAGGAATATGAGATGTGTTCAGGCCAGAGGGTAAGTCTACCTAAGAGCTCAATGTTTGTTTCAAAGCATATTGGGAGCTCTAGGAGGCAAGTACTGTCTGAGATGGCTGGGATTCCTATCAAAAAATGTCCATTTACTTACCTAGGTTGTCCTATCTTTAATGAGAGGACTAGGATCATGTATTTTGAGGAGGTTTTAGTGAAATTTCGACAATGGATGGAGGGTTGGTTTTCTAAATTGCTTTCTAATATGGGTAGAGTTCTTTTGGTACAATCAGTACTGAGCTCTATTCCTATTCATCTTTTAGCTTGTGCGAATTTGTCTAAGAATATTTTGGCTCGTATGAATTCAATGATGGCTAGTTTTATTTGGTCAAAAAAATTGGATAGTAGGAGGAGGCATTGGGTTTCTTGGGCAAAAGTGACCTTACTTAAATCTGAGGGTGGTCTGGGTTTAAGGAAATTGGAGGAGGTGCAAGATGCCTTTCGAATGAAGCAAGTATGGAGATTGATGAAAGGGGATTCTTTGTGGGCTAGAGTGTTTAGTACCAAGTTTCTGAAGGGTAAGCATATGATGAGATGTATGAGTAGGGGTTGTTCTAAGTGTTTCAATGTTTTGAGACCTTTTTTTTATAAGGTGGAGTGTAAGTCGAAAGTTTTGGTTGGTAATGGAGAGAAAAGTAACTTTTGGTGCGATAACTGGTTAGGGAGTGGGCCTTTAATAAGCAGAATTGCAGGTGTTCCTTGTGTGTTTACCAGATTATCAGAGGTGGCTGGGGCTCAGTGGCAGTTTGATAGGGTGGATGATTTGTTGAATGATCAGTTAAAATGTAAACCCCCACACTCTTATCTTTATATAACAAGTAATTATTTTTGAAATGCTAATATAGGTGATGAGGTATGCATGAACCCTATAGATTTCAATAGTATGAATAAACACTATGGAGGCAAATGTTTTTTTTGAAATTTAATTTTTGGAGGTGTTTAAGGTTGATAAGGGTAACTAAGTAAAAATATTAATTTTTTTTAGGTCAAAATAATATTATCATTGAACCTAAGAGATCCGAAAAACTTGGAATAGCCGTTTAGCACATATAGCGGTTCGGAGGAATAAAATAGTAATTTTAGTGTTTCGAATGTAAATTTATTTTAGTTTTGAGATAAATCATAAAAATAAATGTTTTTAGGTTAAAATAACATTAAAAATGAATCCGAAACATCGAAAAACCTTAGGGTAGTCATGTGGATCAAATTGGAGATTTTTAATGGCAAAACCGTAATTTTGGAGAAAACTCAAACAGCCTGTGAACAGTAACTTCGGGACTGCTGTGTTTAAAACACTGATTTCAGCCCATTTACTTCCATTTTTTTCACTCCACTCTCACCCCAAACCTCTTAGCACCCTAGGAGAAGATAGAGGAAATGAGCAAAGGGAGAAGAAAGGAGGTCTCTAGAGCTTGGATTTTGGTTTAGAACTTTGATTCAAGGTAGAAATTTCTTCTCATTCTCCTACATTGAGGATAGGGTTTATGTATATATGTACTCTTTTGACTCTAAATTCAATATGTATGTTATAAAACCTTTAATTCTTGCTATTCTTGCAATAAATGCTATGTTTTAAACAATGTGATGGTTGGGTAACCATTAAAGCTCTCTTTTTCATCTTCAAACCTTATATTTTAAGAAAAATTGATTTTTCTCTCCATATTTCCTTTGTTCTTGATTTCCAAACTTTAGGCTTTCTATTAATCAATAAAATGGTATTGATGTTGATCTCTTGTCTATTTTTCTTACATGGTTCTTTTGGATAACATACAAGAAATTTTGGGAATTTTGGGAATTATGAACTTTTGTTGAGAAATTGTTGGTGAATGTATCTCATGGAGGTGTTTGGATGACCATGGGTGGCCATTGACCGGGTATCGTAAAGTGGGTAGATGAGTGTGGTTCTTACTCTGTTCGGGTTTGAATTTTTCCTACCACTCGTAGTGGGGTTGGTGCCTTGCGAGGATCAAATCACTATTAGCTCACGTG